ACAGAGATCATATGCTCTGTTGTTTCTGAAGACTGAAAGTTACAATGGTGACAAATTTTCTCAGGTGTCTTTTTTTTCTGTGTCAGCAGATGGATTTTGATCTCGAAGTGTCACGACGGTCTTCTAGACCTTTCAAGAACCATCTGATCGCAAGATGCTCTGAAGCATAAGTCATGAAGGCAGCTAGAATTATGGCTACACCCACCATTAGACCCAACCTGCTCAATATGTCATAAATCAGCAACTAAATTCAATCATGAAAAAATCCTAAGGAATGAATCAAATCAAATTCTAAGGACATGATTGTGTTGAATCAATAGCAAGCACCATTTCCCTCCCAGCAAGTTGATTAAGAAAATTACCTCGTAAATAAAGCGGTGATCCCTAAAATGTAAGGCAAAGAAACAGCAGCAACAGCGAGAAAAACCATCCCTAATCCATAATACAATGTGGTCACGTCACAAGACACACCTCCTCGCTGATGACCTGTTGAGACCACAAACAAAAGGGTGGAAATCACAATTCATAATTCTCAAAGTTTGTAGAGAATGGTACAATTACGGACTATCACGAATTTTCTTTTTCTTCTCATGTCCATACCTTTACTGGAATCATCCAAGGACGACGGTTCTGTATGAATTGTGACTTTCTTGCCATGTTGATGCACCAAAAGCAAGAAGCAACCAAACAAAAGAAAGAACATTGTAAAAGTCCATTCATATACCAAGATCAAGCCAGTCCATGGCATAATTTGCCTCGGCACAATCACAAATGAAACTCCAATGGATATAAGAACAGCAGTAAAACAGACTACAACTGAAACTGCGCCTAAGTGTTGAGGAACCTTGGAGTGTGCGTTGCCACTGTGAAGCTGTTAGACAGTACGCAATAATAAAAATGACATACAAATTTTTAAAAGATTTAAACACAATGATGTGATGAGGAAACTCACTTGATAGCTGGGATTCATGGTCGACAATGTAGATACATCACTATAACCAAGTGTTCCATTAGATCTACCTCTGTAATAAAGATATTTAATCTGATTGCACAACGAGCTCCTGCACAACGAACCCTCAGGACCCTGTAAGAGAAACAGAAGAAAAAGAAGATATAAATATGATCCAAAATGGATGTATGTAACGGAGGTGAAGGGTACACATGAAGTCTTAACCTGAATGGATCGGTAAATGCAGAACAAAAGTGCACAAAGAGGTAACAAGAAAAGTAATCTGACTAAGACTTCATCGCTCTGGTTTTTGCCACCTCCAGTGCCAGGAAGAGTTTCCTCAAGCTTTACCCTAATGTTCTGCAGTTGTTCACAAAATCAAACTTAAGCGCAAATTTAGTAAAAAGAAGCCTTAAAACCATAGAGAAGAAGAAGACCTACCTGCCAAGCATCAACAGGTTTCACAAGCCACGCTGTCCACCAGTCCCAAGGCTTAAGAGGACCTAGAGTGTAGTGAATAACGTGAAGTTTACTGTCATCGACCATCCACTGCAGAAATAATGAGAAAACTCAAGGTTCTATAACTTGAAACAGCTGAAGTAACAAAAAAATGAATACACCTAAAACCGATCAAAACCAACCCGAAAGTAACCATACATGTTCCAAGATCACATTAATTTTATAGTAAGCTATAGAATTTAGCAGAAAAAAACGAAAAGAGAACCAAAGAGATACCAAAGCCTAAGTACACTTTTGTTTCCTAACCGAGAAAGGCAAAAATACCTTATTAGCAAGCATATAAAGACCAACATCAGCGTTGTATAATGTCGAAAGCCTCTCCATATCAGGAAGTGGTCTGGTTTTCAATACTTGAGGGGTTAAACTAGGATCGAAAACACGAGCATTTGGGAAATCAGGATAGTACGAATTCAAAAACCCTTGATCTCCTCCAGTATAAGACGACAAAGTCTTCACTTTACGCATCATATCATTAAAAAGAGCTTCAGATGGTTCAACAACCATAACACCAGAGTTGAGTCTCTCGGAATGCTTCAAGTTTGCACAAAACTTAGAGCACTTAAACAGATCCTCAATGTTCTTTACCACAATAGTATCAGCATCAAGATACACAACTGCAATAAATAAATAAAACAAAGCTTTATGAATTTAAAAAGTTTCTCAAATCAGAATCCAAACAAAAAAACACTTTCACCTTTTTTGTAATCTGTCATGTTAAAGATCTTGAGCTTTGTATAAACACCCCAGAACCTTGTCGGATGAACTTGGTTTGGATTTGCCAGTAAACTAATCTTCTCTACTTTCCATCCATCAGCCTGTAGAAATCAA